CACATTTACACGTGTACACGTGGGTATGTGCGTGAGTGTAGTTCCATGCAATTTTACCCCACGTATAGATTCAGGTCAGTGCAGCCGCAATCAAAGGAATATTCCAGCACCCGGAGACCCCTTGTGCCGGCGCTCCCCTTTATTTAACCTTTCCTCCATGCCTCCATCTGTTCTCATCCCGACCACTCTGTTTATAGAGGTTCCACTCCAGCTTCTCCTGCCTCTTGGACAAGCACAGAACCAGTTTCTTCCTCCTCAGGGCCAGCCAGGGAGCTTCGAAATTCTGGGACACATGAGGGTCTCCCGTGATCTGAAGAACTTCTGAACCCCAGTTCATCTCGACCAGGGAAACAGAGCTTTAGGTCTCCGGGCAGCACAGCTCCAGGGGCTCACCCGGTTCCTACAGACCCAGCACGTGATGATGGAGCTCTGCTCCCCAGAGAAGGAAGGACTGTGCTGGGAGGCAGCTCTCTCAGGATGGTGCCAATCACACACTCAACACATTTCTCCTGAGCACCTTCAATGTGCAGAGTGCAGGGCTACACCTGGGCATGCAGGGCCCTTGCACTCAGACAGACCTTGTCCAGGGCTGATTCTACCATCACCCGCTGTGTGACCTTGGACAAGTGACTTAACCACTCTGAGCCTCAGGTTCGTTGTTAGTGAAGTGGCAGGTAAAGCTTCAAAGAGGTAAAAGATTTAAAGCACCGAGCGAGCCTATAAGAGCGTACGTGCAGAATAATCACTGCGGTGACCATGCAGGCCACACAGTTATGACACGAAGCCCAGAGTTCTACACAGAACCCCCTCAAAGCAGGACAGCTTGACTTCCTAGTAACTCAGTAATTCCACAGAGCAAGAGCTGAACAAGTATTTTCTTTAAGCCTTTCCTAAAATGGCCCAGAGAGGTGAAGCAATTTACCCAAAGTCACACAGCTTCTAATTGTCAAAGGGTGGACTAGAGCCCAGGTCTCTGTCTCTTAATCCAATGCTCCCAGAACTTCCCTGGGTTTTCACCCCCAGGGAAGCCTGACCATTTCCCCAGTCTGCACTCCCTCCGGTGCCCCCTTTACACCCACGTGGTGCTTTATCACAGGCCTTTGTCATGCTGCCTGCCACTGTGTATTTTGTGACACCTATTTACTCCCCTCCCTGCTGCCCCAGAGAGTGTGGGCTCCACAAAGGCAGAGGCCGCCCCTGGTGTCTCACACTGTGCCCGGCAGTGTGCAGACACCACGCCCCAGTGCTGGATGGTGAGTGATGGTGAACCCTCCCTCCAGGACTGCAGGCTGCTTGCTGTGGGTACCCACTGGCTGTGGGGCTAGGCCAGCCAGGACCACTCTGCTCACCAACTGGATGGGTTCTGAGCCCAGAAAGAACTGATCCTCCCAGGGAGCATGGAGCCTTGGAGAAAACAGCCAGGGCCGGTGGAGCGCACTGAGGGCAGGCTGCAGCCACAAGCTGCTTGGTGTCCCACATCCGGGGACGTCGTTGGGGCTGGGGTGGGGGGAGAAGGGCTATTCTCTATTTCTCGAATTCTAGCATATTTACGGTTTCCAATATTGGCACCTGTTTATAAGGCTAGTCCTGCTCACACAGAGCACAAGTGTCTTTCAGGCGCATCCCCAGTGTACTAATCTGTTTTTCGTGTCACCAAGGTTGGACTGCAGTGGTGTGATCACGGTTCACCGCAGCCTCCATCTCTCAGACTCAATTGTTCCTCTCACCTAGCCTCCTGAGTAGCTGGGACTATAGGCACGCATCACTGCACCAGGCTAATTTTTTTTTTTTTGGGTAGAGACAGGGTTTTGCCATGTTGCCCTGGCTGGTCTCAAACTCCTGGGCTCAAGCAATCCTCCTGCCTCAGCCTCTCAAAGCCTGAGATTACAGGTGTGAGCCACCACGCCTGGCCTCCAACGTGATGTTCTTGCCCTTCTCCAAGCATGCCCTGTAGACATATCTTGTGTCTGTCTGCCTCTGTTCCTCTCTCTCCTCTTTCTCTCACCTGCCTTCTCTCTGTAGGTCTCATCCCTCATTCAGTAATCCAGAGAATGTGCCTCATGGAGAAATAGCACATTTTTAACGCCTGTGATCTTGATGCCTGGCTAAACCCACTGGGATTCTGCAGCAATGGTGGGACTCATCTGTCTGGCTTCCCAGAGCTCAGATCTCCCACGGCGCAGATCTCCCACGGCTCAGATCTCCCACGGCTCAGATCTCCCACGGCTCAGATCTCCCAGGGCTCAGATCTCCCACGGCTCAGATCTCCCAGAGCTCAGATCTTCCAGAGCTCAGATCTCCCAGAGCTCAGATCTCCCACAGCTCAGATCTCTCACAGCGCAGATCTCCCAGAGCGCAGCTCTCCCAGAGCGCAGATCTCCCAGAGCTCAGATCTCCCATGGCTCAGACCTCCCACGGCTCAGACCTCTCACGGCTCAGACCTCCCACGGCTCAGACCTCCCACGGCTCAGATCTCCCAGGGCTCAGATCTCCCACGGCTCAGACCTCCCACAGCTCAGGTCTCCCAGGGCTCAGGTCTCCCACAGCTCAGGTCTCCCAGGGCTCAGATCTCCCACGGCTCAGGTCTCCCAGGGCTCAGGTCTCCCACGGCTCAGGTCTCCCAGGGCTCAGATCTCCCACGGCTCAGGTCTCCCAGGGCTCAGATCTCCCTCGGCTCAGATCTCCCACGGCTCAGATCTCCCAGGGCTCAGGTCTCCCAGAGCTCAGGTCTCCCACGGCTCAGATCTCCCACGGCTCAGATCTCCCACGGCTCAGATCTCCCTCGGCTCAGATCTCCCACGGCTCAGATCTCCCTCGGCTCAGATCTCCCACGGCTCAGATCTCCCACGGCTCAGACCTCCCACGGCTCAGATCTCCCACGGCTCAGATCTCCCACGGCTCAGACCTCTCACGGCTCGGATCTCCCAGGGCTCAGATCTCCCACGGCTCAGATCTCCCACGGCTCAGATCTCCCACGGTTCAGATCTCCCACGGTTCAGATGTCCCACGGCTCAGATCTCTCACGGTGCAGACCTCCCAAGGCTCAGACCTCCCACGGCTCAGACCTCCCACGGCTCAGATCTCTCACAGCTCAGGTCTCCCACAGCTCAGGTCTCCCACAGTGCAGGTCTCCCAGAGCGCAGATCTCCCAGAGTTCAGGTCTTCCAGAGCGGAGATCTCCCACAGCTCAGATCTCCCAGAGCTCAGATCTCCCACAGCACAGATCTCCCACAGCTCAGGTCTCCCAGAGCTCAGATCTCCCACAGCTCAGATCTCTCACAGCGCAGCTCTCCCAGAGCGCACACCTCCCACGACTCAGACCTCCCACGGCTCAGATCTCCCACGGCTCAGACCTCCCACGGCTCAGATCTCCCACGGCTCAGATCTCCTACAGCTCAGATCCACGGGTGAGTCCATTGAGGCCAGGCACATCTGTGTGTGTGTGGGAAATTCTGCAAGAGCCTAGGCAAGGGTCTGAAGCCTCAGCATGTTCTCATATAAACACAGAATTAGAAACGAATTAGAGATATAGTTACATAGTTATTCCTACATATGCATAACCACACTGCTATTCATATGTAATCATTAATCATATAATCTTTAATTTTACTAATAAGTCTCAGGTCAAGAAGTAGGGGACCGAAGTGGCATTGGAAAAGAGGTGACCCTAAGGCAAGACGCTCTAAGCCCTCTGTCATGCCTGCGTAAGGGCTGCTGGAGGACACCTTGGCTGTGCGACAGTGTCAGCGCTGTGAAAGCGCCCGCTGTTTAGCCAGCTAGGGAAGGAGACGTCCAAGATGGCCAAGTCATCTCCTTCCTCTGGAGAATTAGGAGAAAACTCCGCTCTTCCAAGCTCTTGTGGTCGGCCTGACGCTGTCAGGGAGGCCCACAGACATCCGGGGGCTTAATTCTTTGTGTGGTTCTGTGGTTCAGTGGTCAGGTTCCATGTTTACTTTCAAGTCCTGCTTCTGCACCTGGTTCCTCTTTTTCATAGAAGATGAGAATTAGTAACATAGATCTTAGAGACCTTGCTATTTCTTGACAAGTATGAAAAAGGTGCTCACACCTTGGGTTTTCTCCTCGCCTCGGCTTCTTCAAAGTCTTGGGCCCCTGTCTCCAAGACACGTGATTTACCTGACCCTATCTCTGGCCACGATTACCTCATTCTACCTGCCCTTCCTGCTGCTGTGTACTCAATAAAAGTCAGAGTGTCCAGGCACTCGGGGCCACGGCTGGACTCCGCGCCTTGGTTGGCGGTGGTCCCAGGCCCAAGACACAGCTGCCTGGGACTTCTTTCTTGGTGTCTTGTGTCCTTTCTTTCCACAGTTCTCATCTCCACACCTATAAAGAGGGACTCACAGGTCCCTGCAGGGCTGGACCCTACTCATCTGGCAGAGACTAATGTTTTCCTCACATCCACAGTTCTGAGCTCCTGTTCATTCAGCCAAAAGAACATGTGCCCCCCCCATAAAAAGGTACTGAACATCTCATCTTGGCGCCACACCTGCAGCTTTATAACTGGGTAGCTCCGCTTCCCTGTGCCTCAGTTTCTTCACCTGCACAGTAGAGATCATACTGCTACCTGCCCCTGTGGGTTGTGCTAAGGTTTAAGTGTAATACTCCTGGGACCTAGGATGTAGCAAGCACTGAAGAAAATTCATGTTCATAAATATTATTACTAATCCTTTAAAAATATTATCTCTTTTAAATATCTCTTATCTCTGTCTCCAGCAGGAGGTGCACCCCGGGAGGAGGTACTCCTCTTTCTGCTGAGGCTCCACAGCACTAGTTAAAGTAAACACCACGCCCCACCAACAGGCACGAAGTGCTTTTGCATTTTGTGGCTGGATGCTTGGCAGCGCTGCTTCCCTGACCTTGTGGCAGCTCTGTTTTCACTGATGTCGGCCTCTCAAGGGTCCCTGGGACCCACTGCACACAGAGGCCATGTATCCCAGTTCCTGCCCCCATAAAAAGGAGGGAATGCAAACATCTCCACCTACCATGTGCTTTTCCTGCCTCAGTGCCGTGTCCAAATGCAGCAGGTCTTTTAAGTGAAGGCTGTAGATACACAGGTCAATGTCTACACTGCAAAATACAATGAGAATCAGAAAAGACTTTCAGCATATTAGAAATGAAAAGTATGGATGTTGGCCAGCTCCTGATCAGGATAAGCCACAGCACACCCTGCCTCAGACTCTCTTCCACAGCATGCTGAGGTCCTTACACTCACTCCAGGCTTACAAAAAGGGATCAAATGAGCTGTTTGAAACCCACCAATGGCCAGAAGAGAACAGTTGGTGTCAGAGACACAGCTGCCTGGGACTTCCAAGAGAAAACCAGTGGAGAGAGGGAAGGGAGAGAAATAAAAATGCTGTTTCCTCTGAGTATTTTCTTTAAAAAATTATTTACTTTTTAGAAACAGGGTTTTGCTCTGTCTCCCAGGCTGGAGTACAGTGGCACAATCACAGCTCACTGCAGCCTCCACCTCCCGGGCTCAAGTGATCCTCCCACCTCAGCCTCCTAAGTAGCTGGGACTACCAGGCATGCGCCACCAAACCCAGTTGAGTTTTGTCTTTTATTTTAGAGATGGGGTTTCACTACGTCACCTAGGCTGGTCTTGAACTCCTGAGCTCAAGCAATCTACCCACCTTGGATACCAAATGTTGGGATCATAGGCATGAGCCACGATGCCCAACCTCAAGCATTTTCATATCTATCATCACACACATCATCTTTCCTCGGTGCCTTAGCGGACACATTCTCATGCCCATTTTACAGATGCAGAAACTGACTCAGGGAAGAGAGAATCAGAGAAATCAAGTGATCATCATGGGGTCAGCGGGGGCAGACACACAGCAGATGTAGAAGTCTCTGAGCTTTTTTTCCTCATAGGCAAATGTATTTTACATGATGACACTTCCACCCAAACTGTTTCAAATCCTCTAAGTCTGAATGCTGAAAGAAAGCTGTTCTAAGCCAGGGCCGGCCAATCCAAGACGGCCCCTCTTCAATGAAGTCCCTTCTGCCTGGGTCACATTGAGGCTCAAGGAGCTAAGCCCAGTCTTTCTGCCAGCCCCGAGCAGAGGCTGTGTGCTGGATCATCCCACCCCTTGGACTCACGTAATTTCAGAGCAGACAGAGGCCTGAGACCCGGTGTGTGAACCTGCCAGGCTGAGTTTCTCAAGCCCCTAGGTACTGAGCCCTGCTCTGGGCTGGGTCAAACCCAGCTCTGTCACTCACCGCTGTGTGACCAGCAAGTCACATAACCTCTCTGGGTTTCCCTTTATTCTTTGTGAACTGGGGGAAGTGACAGTCCCAACCTCATAGGTATGTTAAGGGGAATTCATTCATTCATTCATTAATACTTACAGATTGCTGAACCTGTCCCAAGCTCCCTCCCACTGGGCAAAATCCTCATGAGATCATTAATCTCCGTAAAGTGCTTAGCCCTCTGTCCAGTACTCAGAAGTACCCACTTAATCAACTTCACCAGCGGCTGGGATGGCATGCATGGGGCATGCCAGTGATAAAATGAGGCCGCCTTGTCGTCTCTCCCCAGGGCTCAGGCCTGACTCTATAACCCCAGTGTTGGTCAACACGGCACACAAATGACAAATTCATCTGGGGCTCTGACTGTGACGCTCGGTGGCTGTGTGTCCCTGGCAGAGTCACTGAACATCTCTGGGCCTCTGATTCCTCCTCTGACAATGATATGACCCTCCTGGCCCACACCAAGAGGACCGGAAGCCTCATCCTCCATTGCCCCTCTCCTTACCTCTCGCTGGCCAGCACCTCGGGGAAGGCGTTCACCCGGAGGAAGGTGCGGCTGAGAAACCTGTCATCGCTGACGGCCGAGTGGACGCTGGATGAGGAGCTGTAGTCGTCCTTCTCGGCCTGGCTCAGGCTCCCCAGGCTGCTAGAAGGGGAGGCCTCTACCGGCTGGTGCGGCAAGACAGCCTGCTTTAAGTTTTCGTGCAGAGACGGGTTGGAGGAGCCATCGGCCAGAGGCTGGGGTGGCAGTAGGAAAGTCACACTCAGTCCACATGATGCCTCAGGGATTTGATCCACTATTAACAATTCTACCAGACGCACTCTAGATGCTCACAGGAAGCCTGGCTGGAGGAGACTGGCAGGGGTGCCAGCAGACACCACAGAGTTTCTGTCCCAGCTTCTGCTACATCCACATCCCAGAGGCCCAAATCATAGTTCACTTGTCCTCATGAGGCCAGCCCCTCTGCACCAGGCTCCTTCTCCTAAGCTGCCAACCTGGATCTGTGCCCCGGACACCCAGCTGCACCCTCCTCCTGGCTGGCAACTCTGACCTGTTCCTCCATAGCCACCGCTTGCCCTGACACAGTTCACTCACTGCTGTTTGACCCCGGCCTGCTCCTTCCGCAAATCCTGCTGACCACCTGTCCTTCACCTGCACAGAGCAGGTGCCACCCTCCCACCCCCTGCCCACCGACAGGCTCCACGCTCCTCACTAAGAAGCTGGAGCACCATGCATATCAGGCCCACGGCTGGAGGGCCCAGCGAATGTCAGTCTCCACCTCTGGCTGCCCAAGCTGCACTGAGGTGGCGCTGTCTCAGACACTCCTGGTCGCTTCATCATTCTGGGCCTTTCCCGACTTTGGTCCCCCTCTCTGAATCACCCTCCCAATTTGTTGTTTGCTGGGTGGAAGTGTCCCTCCCTCCAGGCATGGATCCCAGACCCCATAATGGCTCCGCAGTCCCTAGCATCTGCCTCTTGCCTATTTCATCATATGCTGTCCTGCAATCTTGGTGTATTCTATCCACCCAGGCAGTGAGGGCCTCCAGGGTGGGGCTGATGCCCTCCTGACCATGGCATGATCCCCAGGGCCCATGCAGGGCCTACCCAGAGGATGGGGAAGTGCCCATCATCCACCCACCCATCCCACCCTTCCACAATGTGAAGGACCTGGTTCCCAATGTGGGCTCTGGGGAATAGTTCCATGAGCCAGTTTCTCCTCACCACAAAGATTCCACGGAAAAATCAACTGGGGAAAGCCTGTGTTAAACAAGGTGAAATGTTTCCTTGGGGCAGGAATTCTCAGAACCTTCAGCATGCTTTGGCTGTCTTCAGAAGCAAGTAACAATTTAGAAATGCTGACATGTTCCGAGTGTGTAGAGGCTGTGTACTGTCTGATGCTGACATGTTCTGAGTGTGTAGAGGCCCTGCACTGTCTGATGCTCACATTCTGAGTGTGTAGAGGCCGTGCACTGTCTGATGCTGACATGTTCTGAGTGTGTAGAAGCCGTGCACTGTCTGATGCTGACATTCTGAGTGTGTAGAAGCCGTGCACTGTCTGATGCTGACACGTTCTGAGTGTGTAGAGGCCGTGCACTGTCTGATGCTGACATTCTGAGTGTGTAGAGGCCCTGCACTGTCTGATGCTCACATTCTGAGTGTGTAGAGGCCCTGCACTGTCTGATGCTGACATTCTGAGTGTGTAGAAGCCGTGCACTGTCTGATGCTGACACGTTCTGAGTGTGTAGAGGCCGTGCACTGTCTGTTGCTGACATGTTCTGAGTGTGTAGAGGCTGTGCACTGTCTGAGGCTGACATGTTCTGAGTGTGTAGAGGCCGTGCACTGTCTGATGCTGACATGTTCTGAGTGTGTAGAGGCCGTGCACTGTCTGATGCTCACATGTTCTGAGTGTGTAGAGGCCGTGCACTGTCTGATGCTCACATGTTCTGAGTGTGTAGAGGCCGTGCACTGTCTGATGCTGACATGTTCTGAGTGTGTAGAGGCCGTGCACTGTCTGATGCTGACACGTTCTGAGTGTGTAGAGGCCGTGCACTGTCTGATGCTGACATGTTCTGAGTGTGTAGAGGCCGTGCACTGTCTGATGCTGACATGTTCTGAGTGTGTAGAGGCCGTGCACTGTCTGATGCTGACATGTTCTGAGTGTGTAGAGGCCGTGCACTGTCTGATGCTGACATGTTCTGAGTGTGTAGAGGCCGTGCACTGTCTGATGCTGACATGTTCTGAGTGTGTAGAGGCCGTGCACTGTCTGATGCTGACATGTTCTGAGTGTGTAGAGGCCGTGCACTGTCTGATGCTCACATGTTCTGAGTGTGTAGAGGCCGTGCACTGTCTGATGCTGACATGTTCTGAGTGTGTAGAGGCCGTGCACTGTCTGATGCTGACATGTTCTGAGTGTGTAGAGGCCGTGCACTGTCTGATGCTGACATGTTCTGAGTGTGTAGAGGCCGTGCACTGTCTGATGCTGACATGTTCTGAGTGTGTAGAGGCCGTGCACTGTCTGATGCTGACATGTTCTGAGTGTGTAGAGGCCGTGCACTGTCTGATGCTGACATGTTCTGAGTGTGTAGAGGCCGTGCACTGTCTGATGCTGACATGTTCTGAGTGTGTAGAGGCCGTGCACTGTCTGATGCTCACATTCTGAGTGTGTAGAGGCCGTGCACTGTATGATGCTGACATGTTCTGAGTGTGTAGAGGCCGTGCACTGTCTGATGCTGACATGTTCTGAGTGTGTAGAGGCCGTGCACTGTCTGATGCTGACATGTTCTGAGTGTGTAGAGGCCGTGCACTGTCTGATGCTGACATGTTCTGAGTGTGTAGAGGCCGTGCACTGTCTGATGCTCACATTCTGAGTGTGTAGAGGCCGTGCACTGTATGATGCTGACATGTTCTGAGTGTGTAGAGGCCGTGCACTGTCTGATGCTGACATGTTCTGAGTGTGTAGAGGCCGTGCACTGTCTGATGCTGACATGTTCTGAGTGTGTAGAGGCCGTGCACTGTCTGATGCTGACATGTTCTGAGTGTGTAGAGGCCGTGCACTGTCTGATGCTGACATGTTCTGAGTGTGTAGAGGCCGTGCACTGTCTGATGCTGACATGTTCTGAGTGTGTAGAGGCCGTGCACTGTCTGATGCTGACATGTTCTGAGTGTGTAGAGGCCGTGCACTGTCTGATGCTGACATGTTCTGAGTGTGTAGAGGCCGTGCACTGTCTGATGCTGACATGTTCTGAGTGTGTAGAGGCCGTGCACTGTCTGATACTGACATGTTCTGAGTGTGTAGAGGCCGTGCACTGTATGATGCTGACATGTTCTGAGTGTGTAGAGGCTGTGCACTGTCTGATGCTGACATGTTCTGAGTGTGTAGAGGCCGTGCACTGTCTGATGCTCACATGTTCTGAGTGTGTAGAGGCCGTGCATTGTCTGAGCCCTCATTACGTTATCCTGTGTAGCACCCGAAACAACTGCGCGAGGCAGGAGCACCAGCACCCCCATTTCACAGATAACGAGACTGAGGCACGGAGAAGTCAGGAAATGCCGCACAGAATGGCTCAGATGGGGTTAGGACTGAGTTACTGGACTCCAGCGCTCATCATCCTGGTCACCAAGAAAGCAATCCACATTTTCCCAAACTTACTTCACTAGGAAACCTTTTTGCACAAAGCACCTCCCAGGCTGAGGGCGCCTGGAAGGTGTAACCGTAGCCAGGTGTTGGGGTTTGATTCTGGTTCTGCCCCTTGTGGTCACGTGACCTCAGGTCGCTAGCCTCTCTGGGCCTCAGTTGCCTTACGTGTCAAGTGGGGACAATATTATTTTCCTGATAGACACAACACCAAGTTGAATTGCCTAATGCATGACAAACAGCATGACACTGGCCCTGTGCACATAAGTGTTCAGTAAGTGCCAGCTGCTGGCATTAGTCCAGGGCTCTGTAAATGAGGATTAGCACTCGGAACTGAGTCAGTATCTGTGTTTGTATTAGTGTTAAAAAGGCAGAGAGGGAGCTGTCCTCCTGTCCTACTCCTCATGTCCCTAGGAGTACAAGGAGCCATGGAACTTCCTTACCGTGGTTACCATGGGCATGTCCTTCCTGATAACACTGTCATAAGACAGATTAACCCTAATCTGTCTGAGATTACAAAGCCTCAAAACTACCCCTATTAAAATGACTTGCCATAAAACCCTCAAACAAGACCAAACATCACACAGTTAATCCCCCTACTTTCCTCCCAATCACTGGCACATGACAGAAGTAACTGCATTTCTATGATGGAGCTCAGGACACTCACCCGGAACTTCTGATTGATGGGGTAGATGACTTTTGCCTTCAGGGCAAATGCTGTGACATTGCTGTTGGAAGGTGGCTCACATTCCTGGGAGGGAAAGACACAAACGGCATGGGAAACTTTCTGTAAAATGAAGGATAAGTTGTCAAGTTTTTCCAATATGCCACATCCCATTTGTAATAGCAGCCTCAGAAAGGGACCATGATAGGCACATTTAGATTCATATTAGCTCTTCCTTGCCAGAAGGAAAATGAGTGGATGGGTCGACAAACAGATGGATGGGTGGGTGAATGAATGGATGAGTGGGCAGATGAATAGATAGGTAGATGGATGGATGGGTAGGCAGATGGATAGATGGGTGGGTGAATGGATGGGTAGACAGAGAGACAAGTGGATGGATGAATAGGTAGACAGATGGATAGATGGGTATGATGGATAGATGGATGGATGGATGGATGGATGGATGGATGGATGAGTAGACAGATGAGTGGATGGATAGGTATACAGATGGATAGATGGGTGGATGGACAGATGGGAAGACAAATGAATAGATGAGTGAATGAATGGATGAGTGGGCAGATGGATAGATGGGTGGATGGATGGAAGGATGGATGGGTAGAGAGATGGCTGGCTGGCTGGCTGGCTGAATGGGTGGATGGTTGGGTGGGCAGATGGGTGGATGGATGGATGGATGGATGGATGGATAGGCAGATGGATGGGTGAATGAATGGATGAGTGGGCAGATGGATAGATGGGTAGATGGATGGATGGGTAGAGAGATGGCTGGCTGGCTGGCTGGCTGAATAGGTAGACAGATGGATAGATGAGTGGGTGGATGGTTGGGTGGGCAGATGGGTAGATGGATGGATGGATGTGTGGATGGATGGATGGATGGATGGATGGGCAGATGGATGGGTGAATGAATGGATAGGTGGGCAGATGGATAGATGGGTGGATGGATGGGTAGACAGATGGATGGATGGATGGATGGATGGGTGAATGGATGGATGAACAGGTAGACAGATGGATAGATGAGTGGGTGGATGGATGGGCAGACAGATGGATAGATAGATGGATAGATGAATAGGTAGACAGATGAATAGATGGGTGGGTGGGTGGGTAGACATAGATGGATGGGTGGATGGATGAACAGGTAGACAAATAGATAGATGGGTGGGTGGATGGATGGGTAGACAGATAGATGGATGGGTGGATGGATGAATGGGTAGACAGATGGATGGGTAGATGGATAGATGGATGGATGAATAGGTAGACAAATGGATAGATGGGTGGGTAGATAGATGGGTAGACAGATAGATAAGTGGATGAATGAAGAGGTAGACAAATGGATAGATGGGTGGATGGATAGATGGATGGGTGGATGAACAGGTGGGTGGGTGGGTGGATGGACAGCCAGATGGATGGGTGAATGAAAAGGTGGAGAGATGGACGAGTAGATGAAAAAATAGATGGATATATGAACAGACGGATGAACAAACAGAGGAGGCTATCAAAAGAGAACGGCACAATGTCAATTTAATCAAAATGCTTCAGCTTTGGAAAAAATAAGGATTTGAATAACTTGAGAATAATTGACAAGAGAGTCTCCTAAAGAATTAGGAAAAGCAAACATACAAAATAATTTTAGCATTGCCACAGGTATAAGCACATGCGGTAATATTCACACAAGACTTGGAATTAGATCCTTAAACAAAAGTAAGTGGTTGGGCAAGTCTTCTAACTTCTCCGAATCTTAGTCTTCCCAGATAGTAAATCAGCAGAGGATCTGCCCTCAAGGACCACATACATAAAGTACCATGCTGAGTTGCTAGAATAGAGAAGAAACAATCAGTGGGCCGCTGTGTGTAGTGGTCTAACACACCACTGTCAAATACTACTCTGGAATCACCTCCCCTGAATCAATAAAAAGTTGGATGGGCTGAGCGCAGTGGCTCATGCCTGTAATTCCAGCACTTTGGGAGGCGGAGGTGGGTGGATCACGAGGTCAAGAGATCGAGGCCATCCTGGCCAACATGGTAAAACTCCATCTCTACTAAAAATACAAAAATGAGCAGGGTGTGGTGGCACATGCCTGTAGTCCCAGCTATTCGGGAGGCTGAGGCAGGAGAATCACTTAAACCTGGGAGGCAGAGGTTGCAATGAACCGAGATCCCCCAACTGCACTCCAGCCCAGGCAACATAGCAATACTCTGTCTCAAAAAATAAAAAATAAAGAAGCTGGATGAACTTATCCGTGGCCTTCCCCACATCCCCACATCGTCTCCGTCTCTCTCCTGTTGGGTCATCCCCACCCCACCACTGCACTCTGCAAAGTCAGTGCTGAAACAATGCTTTGGAAACAACCAGAGAGTGAATTAACATAAGCAGACAGAAAGCCCAGAGCCTGGCGCTGCAGACCATAAAAAATCTTTTCTGAGCAATTCCGAGCACACCGATGGAAGACAACTGCACGTGCGTCTGTTCCAGTGCTTCTCAACCACGTCTTGAAGAGCAAGCTCCATCACCACGGCCAATTTCCAATCACAAAGTTCACCTTGGAATAAGATACCCTATTGTGGGCAACACAGAAGGATGGATCACTTGCTTCTAATTTGGGGTGCTGACACAGCCCCCACTGAGCCAGCACTGTGGCCTAGGGATGTGGGGAGAGGGGATAAGGAAGAATAGCTAGTGCATGCTAGGCTTAATACTTAGGCGATGGGTTGATCTGTGCAGCCAACCACCATGGCACACGTTTACCTATGTAACAAACCAGCACATCCTGCACATGTAACCCGCAGCTTAAAATAATGTGTCCAAGGAGAGCTGCACCTTGATGCCCTGTGAGCAACACGGGAGGGAAGCTGCACACCAGGGGCTCCAGTTCTTGTCATTTCTCTAACTCACAACTCACAAAAGACTTGAGTGGCAAGAATCGGGGAAGACCCTTCCTTACATCTTATACAAAATTAACTCAAGATGGATTAAAGACTTAAATGTAAAACCCAAAACTATAAAACCTCAGGATAAAATCTGGGCAATACCATTCAGGACACAGGCACAGGCAAAGATTTCATGACAAAAACGCTAAAAGCAATTGCAACAACAGCAAAAATTGGCAAATGAAATCTGATTAAAGAGCTTCTGCACCGCAAAAGAAACTATCATCAGAGCGAAGAGACAACCTACAGAAGGGGAGTACATTTTCTCAATCTGTCCGTCTGACCAGGGTCTAATATCCAGAGTCTACAAGGAACTGAAACGAATTTACAAGTTAAAACAACTCCATTAAAAAGTGGGCAAAGAACACGAACAGACACTTCTCAAAAGAAGATATTCATGCGGTCAATAAACATATGAAAGAAAGCTCAACATTACCGATGATTAGAGAAACGCAAATCAAAACTACAAGGAGACACCATCTCATGCCAGTCAGAATGGCGATTATTAAAAAGTCAGGAAGCAACAGACCTTGGTGAGGCTGTGGAGAAAAAGGAAAACTTTTACTATTGGTGGGACTGCCAATTAGTTCAACCATTGTGGAAGACAGTGTAGTGATTCCTCAAAGACCTAGAAGCAGAAAGGCCATTTGACCCAGCAATCTCATTCCTGGATATATATGCATGTGTATGTCCACTGCAACACTATTCACAATAGCAAAGACATGGAATCAACCCAAATACCCAGCCATGATAGACAGGATAAAGAAAATGTGGTACATAAACCCTAAGAAATACTATGCAGCCATAAAAAGAAACAAGATCATGTCCTTTTCAAGAGCATAAATGGCTGGAAGCCATTATCCTCAGCAAACTGACACAGGAACAGAAAATCAAACACCGCATATTCTCACTCATAAGTAGGAGCTGACCAATGAAAACATGTGGACACATTGGGTGGGGGGAACAACACATACTGGGGCCTGTTTGGGGGCAGGGGCAGGGAGAGGATCAGGAAGAAGAGCCAGTGCATGCTGGGCTCAATGCCTATGGGCTGATCTGTCCAGCAAACCACCACACCTTTACCTATGTAACAAACCTGCATATCCTGCACATGTATCCCACAACTTAAAATAAAAGTTGAAGAAAAATAAACAAAAAGGTCTCAAGAAAAAAAAAAAAAGAACAGGGGAAGACCACCGACATATGCTACCTCCCTAAGCTTCCAAGGACCCTGCCACAGAGGTCACTGTCTCCACTTCCAGACAGAGAAGATGAGCCACAGAGAGGTAAAGCCACATGCCTAAGGCCACGCAGCCAATCATCACTAGAACCGGGATCTGAACTCAACTTTGCCGGCTCCAGATCTGCCCTCTAGCTGAGGCCATGCTGGCTCTGTCAACACAATGCAACTCAGAGCAAGACTAAGTGCCATGGAGCGTAAAGGGAAGTGGGGGTTCGAGGAGAAGGCCCCTGGGCTTGGCTTCACCGTGCTCAGAAACCTACATCAGTTACTGAGGTACAGTATACTCTGACATCCCAAGTCCCCACATCCAACTGACCACGCATCCCATCAACTTAACCTCCCAAATCTCTCTGGAATCCGTGGCCCTGGCCTAGGCCTCCGTCACATTTACCCTGAAGGGCTGCAATCGCTCCCTTAGCAGCTCCTCATCCATGTACTGAGAGGGTCTACCCTGTCCAGCCACCTATGCACGCTTGCCCAATTAATTACCACACATCAGGCAGCTTGGGGAGGTGCAGACTATTATTATCATGCCTACCTTATTATGGTGGGGCAAACTGAGGCTCAGAGGTTAACATCTTCCAATTCATTCTCCACATAGAAATCAAATTATCTTTTAAACATAAATTTCCATCAATGTGCCTCTTAAAACCCTTCCTGGCCTCCCTCTGACCTGAGGGTACAGAGCCTGGTCTGCTCTCAACCCCCTGCATTCTGGCCCACTTTCCACTTGAAGTTTTGTCAGTGAACAAGGAATGGCTCATGCCTATAATCCCAGCACTTTGGGAGGCTGGGGCAGGCAGATCACAAGGTTAGGAGTTCAAGACCAGCCTGGCCAATAAGGTGAAACTCCATCTCTACTAAAAAAAAAAAAATTAGCCAGGCATGGTGTCATGTGCCTGTAATTCCAGCTACTTGGGAGGCTAAGGTAGGAGAATCACTTGAACCCAAGAGGTAGAGGTTGCTGTGAGTTGAGATCAGAAACGAAGAAGAAGAAAGAAGAAAGAAGAAGAAGAAAAGGATGTTGGTACAGGGCCCACCTGAGATCTGTGAGGGCAGAACCTGGGGATGGAGGAGCCACAGAATGGGCATCAGGAACACATCCCGGCTGGCGGGAAGCCTCCACCTGACCCATCTACCTGCAGACTGCAACCCCTGCAGGGCCAGCCCACGGACGGTCACGGTCTTTGCCAGGGCATAAAGGACCAGGAGCATGTGATACGTGAAACCAGGGAAGGAGCAGGCTCTGCTCCCTCAACAGCAGCCACTGCGTTTAGTTTTTTAGAGCACGCCTCATTAAGGTCACGTATCTTCCAAATCCAGAGTCTCCCCAGCTGAAGCAATACCATTATTTAGAAAATTGGTGGTAGCAAAATATACAAGGTAAAACTTCTTCAGCTGAAGCAATGCAATTATTCAGAAAATTGGTTAAAGTATAATTGCAGGAAAGGAACAGCCGTTTCTGTCATCAGCATAAAGGGGCTCTTTTCAGAGGATGCGTAAATGCATCCTTAAAGGCTCCACCCACTCTCCCTCCCTCCAAAGCAAAGGAATGGGATGGAGGGACCGAGGCTGTGGAGTGGCATGCCTCAGAGCCTTCTGGAATTTTCTGTTTTCAGCTGAGATGAGTTGTTCATCAAACAGAGGTCACCCAAGGCATGACGGGAACCACCAAGCCCTGGTTTTCTGGGCACTAGAGGACAAGAAAGTTGTAGCTCGACCCACGGGGCCAAAGCAGTCCTGGCCACGTATTTTGACAAGCTCAGTCTGCAAAAAGCCAAGAGCATTCTGACAAGCCAGTCACTGGAACAAGTAGATCTTTCACTTAACCCTTGGCAATTATTAGCTTGATAATGGGCATCTGCTAGGTGTAGCTGAATAGTGAACAGCTAAGAGATTACCAGGCAGAAAAAAAATAAGTTTACAGCGGAATAGAAAGACTTAGGACTCCCTGCAAACACTGATTGAGCACCTGTTCTGTGGCGGGAACACTCACATGCATTAACTCAGCCCCGGGTGACTCCAGGATTGCAGGCATAGGGGAACACCATCACTGCTGTCCTTTTAAGTAAGAAACTTGAGGCTCAGACAGGTTACACTTCCCGCCCAACGTCACACGGCAGACACGTGGCCGAGCTGGGACTGGGTTCCAGGATTCTAGGTCCCAAGGCCAGCTTGTTTCCATCACATTTGAGGCTGCCCTATGTGTGAACAGTGTTGTTTAGCAGTTTTTCTGAGATTTAATTCACACACCCTGCAGTTCACTCATGAAAGTGTAAGATTTCATGGTTTTCAGTATCTTCAGATATGTGTAGCTGTCACTATAGTCAACCTGACTGATTGATTTTTTTGAGACAGTCTTGCTCTGTCACTCAGGCTGCATAATCCTGGCTCACTGCGACCTCCACCTCCTGAGTTCAAGCAATTCTCCTGTCTCAGCCTCCCAAGTAGCTGGAAATACAGACACACCCCACCACGCCTGGCTGATTTTTGTATTTAGCAGAGATGGAATTTCACCATGTTGGCCAGGCTGGTCTTGAACTCCCAACCTTAAGTGATCTGCCCACCTCAGCTTCCCAAAGTGCCGGGACTTCAGCCATGAGCCACCGTGCCCAGCCTATCGTCAACTTTAGAACACTTTCATGGCATCAAAGAGAAACCATGTCCTCTTTTCACTGTCACCCCATTCCTCCCCTTCCTCTGTTCCAGCCCCTGGAAACCACTAATCTACTTTCTGTCTGTATAAATCTTCCTGTTCTAGACATTTCACAGGAATGGGATTGTAACCGGGTTTTTTCTTCAGCGCCGGTGAGGCACAGCTTCCCTGAGAGAACGCTGTGGGTTTTTGGCTTCCAACCTTTTAAAGAATAAGCGGTGGGGCCACTGCAGATGCACCAGATGCTTCTAAAAGTAAATACTGGACCCAGGAAGTGTTGCAGAAAGGTGGTTTTACTTAGGTAGAGAAAAGAGAAGAAGAGAAAGGCTTCTACAAAGAGTATGGAAGGGGACTCTAGAGGGGAAATTCCAGAGGGAGCTTTCACCATGTGGAAGGGGATTCCAGAAAGCTGGAAATTTGGCACAGGTGAAGGAGCAGGGGAATTTATCCTGGGAGAAATTCCCACCTTCCTAAGTTCCTCTGGCCAATGAAAGGAGTTCCTTTAAACTTCTACTGGGGTGACTGACTCTTAGTTTCTTCCCGTGTCCCCGAAATTTAAACATAAACCGTTAAATTTCTCGGAGGGAGAGAGATGAGGGGGTGCAAGGCGCTGGGAAACTTTTACCCTTAAAACTTCGCCCCCTCATGGACCTGGAAAGAGAGCAGATTCCCTCAGGATCCTACAACGTGTGGTCTTTTGTGAATGGCTTTTTTCATTTAGTGTATTTTCCAGGTTCATCAGCCCTTCATTTTTTTATAGCCAAATAATCTTCCAATGTCTGCAAATACCACATTTATTTTTCTAGTTGTCAGTCAAGGGACATTTGGGTTGTTTCCACATTTTAGCTATTGTGAATTGTGTTGCTTTGAACATGTGTGTACAAGTTTTTGTGTGGACACCTGTTTTCACATGTGAGCAGATTCTAATAATGTGAGAGGGCAGGACAGAGGCAGAGCAGTAGAGAGAGAGAGAGCAATGAGGGGAAGAGAGACACAAAGACAGGGAGACACTGTGCACCTGCAGGCTCACATACTGTCACAAGACGCACACACAGAGACCCACAGAGGGAGTGACGGACTGGGACATACACATACACGGACACACGTGGAGAGGCAAACACAGTGTCAGAGAAGCACAGAGCACATCCAAACAGGTGCTCAGTGTTTGCAGGGAGCCCTCAGTCTTTCTACCTCACTGTAAGGTTAACTCTTTTTTTCCTGCCTAGTAATGTCTTACCTGTTCACTATTCAGCAACACCTAGCAGATGCCCATTATCAAGCTAATAATTACCACAGGTTAAGTTAAAGATCTGCTCATTCCAACTCATCTCCCACAACAGGACAGCAACAGAGGCTTCCCTATGTCTCCCTGGCTCCATGTCAGCCAAGGGCAGTGAGGTGCCCCCACTCCACGGGATCCCACCAGCACAGGAGGGAGACCCAGGACTGCCACAAAAGCCGACTGTAAAGCTTAACTAGAAGCTGAGCCCTACTAAATTCAGACCTTCGGGGAAATCTGTTTTGAAATCCCCAACCCACTTTCTTCCTTGGTAAGCTGAGGCTGTGGAATGGAATGGAACAGGATGGAAAGGGGAAGAGGCTGGGAGTCAGGTGTGGGGATGCAGCACTCCCAAGCAGGGGCTTGGCAAACCTAAGGACAAATATCAGCTTGGCCACTCCCCAGCTGTGGGACTCAGGAAAGCAGACCACCTCTGAGCCTCGCTGCCTCATCTGGAGGATATAAATCAGATCAGCCTCACGTGGCTGCTGAGAAGGGCATGAGATCATTCCCGTGAGTGTTGGCATCACTCACAGGTGAGAGGTGTAAAACTGCCTGGCATGAGCAGATGTGAGGACATAATGCTAGTTCAATCTTTCCCCTTATTCCAGAAGTCTGCAGTGCTTTCTAGGGGACAAGGAGGTGGCTAGAAATGTCACATCCTCTCCACCATGAGCCTCACCCAGAAAGCGATGTTCTGTGGATAGAGTAAGGGTTCCAGGAAGGCAGGGACAGGGATAATTTTCTGTAACATTTCTTCCAGAGGCCCAGCACTCCCACCCCTAGAGACTTACTTAAAGGAAGTAAAATGAAATGAAAGTAAACAGACGTATGCACCAACGTGCATCGCAGCCTTATTCATCACGGCCAAATGCTGAAAACAGCCCAATCCACCAATGAAATACCTATCAAATGGCGAGCAAACAACATAGCATGGCACATCCACACAGTAGACTGCCACTGAGCAATAAACATGGGTGAATTACTGATACACACAACGAAAGGGAAACATCTCACGGCATTCTGTGGCGAGAACACAGGCACAGAGCAGCACAATTCCATTTGCATGAGGTTCTAGAACAGCGAAACTGTCCCACGGAAATCCCAGGCACGGGTGCCTCTGAAAGTGTGTGGGAGTGGCCACTGACCAAAAAGGGGCACTAGAGGACCTGCTGGGTGACGAAAAGATTCTCGATGGGGGTATTAGTTCCAAGGTGTACGCAACTGTCAAAACTCATCAAACTGTAAAACTTAAAGCCTGTGCATTTGACTGTAAATTATGCCTCAAAAAAAGCAGGCAATTGGGAAAATGTACCTGTCAGAGGCTTGTCTACATGATACCCGGCTGCCAGGGGGGACACCCCCCCTCCCACGGGTACTCTACAAACAAACACCAACACCAAGCTTACATCAACAGCTTCCTTGTCCTTCGGCATCTGCACTTCTCTCTTCCTCCTCCTCGATGGGGAGCCAGTTTCCAAGGGGGTCTGCGCATTAGACTCCAAATTCCTGAGCAGATTTTGAGTGTCATCTTTCTAAAACCAGAAGGCCAGGAGTTGGGGATGGATAGAAACACAACATTGATGTCAGTCAGCCTCGTCCCCACTGTGACTTTTGCCAGTCAATTCCCCCAGTCCAGTGGCCACTTCCACCTGCCTCCGCGCTTCTACACAAGCTTGTCCCTCTGTGTGTGACGCCTCCTACCCCACATGGGGTCTGCTACAGGTCCTTCAAGACTGCACAGATGTCCCCCTAATCCCTCCAGCATGCCCCATCTCAGTGCACCCTCAGGACTCGGAGCAAGATGCAGAGCAAAGCTCATTCCATTTTTCTTCTAGGTTGAGGTCCCCGCTGGACTGGGAGTTCCTTGAATTTAACAACTAAGCATGGGAAATGGCACATGCATATTAATTTTCCTGTTGATTTTGATCACTCTATTTAATGTTTTTTAAGAAAATGTTAGGTGACCTTAAGTTATAGAATAGTCTCTATTCTGAACTACAACGAGTGCTCATGATTTATGGATTGTGTATTTGCCAATTCCGGTAGTTGCTAAAATTTACTTAAGACCCCAAACCAATGCTCATGGGTCTTTCACAGTTATTCACGGATACATGCAGAGCCTGAAAAATCTGTGTTGCCCAGCGTCCACATGCTCAGCTGAGATGGAACAAGGCAGGACTCTGCCTTCTTGTCTCTGCTCTCAGGCTATAAATAGACATCCTGTTCATACTCTAGTACCACAGTGTTTGCATTTCTATGCTTTTTCTTGGTGGTTTTACTGTTTAAAATAACCACCACCAAACATAGTGCAGTAGTGCTCTCTAGTCTCCTAAAATACAAGAAGACTATGACATGCCCTTTGGAGAAACAGCCGTGTTACAGAAGCTTCATTCAGGTATGAGTTACAATGCTGTTGTCTGTGAGTCCCATGTTAATAAAGATATGTATTAAATAAGATATCTTTAAACAGAAACATACATAAAACAATGCTATGTATTGACTGGTTAATGGAAATGTGACCAGAGGCTTGTAGGAACCTAACGCTGTTTTTCCCTTAGGAACAATAGTTCGGTGTTTACTAATGCTGTGTTGTCAGCGAGTTTATAGAACATAACTACCACAAATAAAGAGAATAAACTGTATTTAAAATTCTGTTATCCCAGACACTTACCATCTTCCTTTTAATCACTGGCTGCTCATGAATTTAATCTCTGAACTAAAGAAATATCACCAGTTTGTCACTGAGTTAATCCACTACTATTATCGAGCATCTGCTTTGTGTCAAGACTTGTTCTAGGTACTGGGAATAGAGTAATGAACAAAATACACAGCTTCTGCTTTTGTGGCATTAACATTGCAGTGAGAGAAGAAAGATGCAAACACATTAAAAAAACACATAGTAAGTCAAGGACGATCCATGTTCTAGAGTAACAGTGGAGGCTGGGAAGGATGCTGGGAGGCAAAGTCTCTCTGAAGGTAATGTAAAAAAGACAAAGAGATGGGAAGTGAGAGAGGAAGACTAAGATTAGAAGCCCAATTCAGCCTAAAAAAAATGATAGGAGTTTCTGGAAGAAGAGAACTCCTTTGTCCAGAAGGAAAGAATCATCAAAGGAAAAAGCAAGAAAGTGATCTGGATCGAAAGGACATTTCAAATGGCTGGCACTGCAGATGACAAACCACTTCCACCAAGACCATCGTGGCACAATTTCATTTACTAGGAGCAAAGAAAAGGTTCTTTAAGATTCTACAGAGGGCTGGGCATGGTGGCTCAAGCCTGTAATCCCAGCACTTTGGGAGGCTGAGGTGGGTGGATCATGAGGTCAAGAGATCGACACCATCCTGGTCAACATGGTGAAACCCCGTCTCTACTCAAATACAAAAAAATTAGCTGGGCATGGTGGCTCGTGCCTGTAATCCCAGCTACTCTGGAGGCTGAGGCAGGAGAATTGCCTGAACCCAGGAGGCGGAGGTTGTGGTGAGCCGAGATCGTGCCATTGCACTCCAGCCTGGGTAACAAGAGCAAAACTCTGTCTCAAAAAAAAAAAAAAAAGATTCTACAGAGGAGCTAAAGGAAAAGAGGTTTTGTGTAATTTTGTGTAAAGTATCAAGGATCAGAATAGAATCAGTTTTCTCAACAGCAACAGTGGAAGTTATGAGATGAAGCAGGGCCCCACTCCGCTCCTTTTCAGGTGCCTGCAAATCCCCTGCCCTAAGCATGCAAGTATCAAAAAATCCTGACTTTCTTCAAGAGAAATTAT